TAGCCAGTCTTGGCCCATTTCTGACCCGTGCCTGCTAACCAAAGCTCATGTTTCAACATTGGCTGAAGCCTGGCTTAACCATTGGGTGAAATATGGCCCAAGCTTGGTTGCCAAAGCCTAGGCAAGTCTAGGTTGAGCCAAGCTTGGACCAGTTGTTGGAGCTTGGAATTCCTACCTGGGTCAAAGGCAACTCGATGACTCGACGGTAACCCCAATCACACCCCTCCCTCCCCCTCCCCCCACCGCCATCGTTGTTTTACACCATTTTTAAAGGCCCCACCTCCTCGTTTTCGAACACAACTTCCGTGCGTTCGAGAATTCAACTCTTCGTCTTCATTTCATTCCAGTCTTACGCGCACATCTTTTGGAATGATAATTAGTAAGCGGTTTTTTTTTGGGGGGGGGGGGATGGGGTGGTGACCTGTGCTGTTACCTCTGTTCCTCTGCTCATCTTCATCACTCAAAACATATTCTGGATACACCCATTGAATATTTCACATCTGCGGGGGGATTAACCCATTATTACGGACATCCGTCATGATGACGAGACTTTTTTTGAAAAACTTTTTTTACCAATGCGTCTTCAATTGTAAATATTTTTGGGATCATCTACTTGTTATAATGAGGAAATTGATTTTTTTTTGGTTGGAATAATCAAAAATAAGAGTCGGTGACTGCCATTTTGTTTCACGTTTTGCCATTTTCAGGTCAATCTTTTCATTTTTTTTTTTGAGTACTGAATATTCTTTTACTGTTTCTCTCGTTACAGAATCACGAACGGGTTATTACAAGAACTCAGTCCTCTTTACGAGTGCAACCTAGAAAAGGCGTTCGGAGGACACGCGGCCCTTTGGTCTGACGTAAGCCAGAAAAATCATCAAAAATATTGGAAGCCTCACGGATTTGCAGAGGACAATGCAATTGCAATCTGCAATAAATACTTGAGCAACAAACAACGTACGTCCAGGGAAAAAAAAGCGTGAAACGCACCTGTGACCGTCTAGTTTCATACAAAAAAATAAATTGAGTGAATTAAACGAGAAAATACACCACTGATGAGTGGATATATCGTTGGCATTTCGATTTATCATTTATGTCGAGGTAACATATCAACGGCGCCATTTTCCTCGCACTCACCGCCATCTTGTTCACCAGAAATAAATAGTCCAAAGTGACGGGAATCTGGTGGAGTGCGAGGGAATTCGCGCTGTTTGAGAGAACGAGGGGAAAATTGTCGAAGTAAATGAGAAATTAAAAAAGAGATATATAATTTATAAAGACTGCTTGAGAGTGCTTGCGCGAGTGCATGCGTTCCTATAGGAATTAACGTATAAATAATTAAACCTGTATCAATGCGAGTAGATAATTTTCAAGTCCAAAAACTCCAATCAATCCTTGTTCCTCCAAAAATTAACAACTTCGTGACAAATGTGGTCCTCTTTAATTTCACAAGTCAAAAAAATCATTCGAAATCAGAACAATCGTGTGACGAGTGTGAAAAATCGACTGAATTAATGAGCAAACGAACGAAACTCTCACTGTGATTTTTTTTTTCCCATTAAAGCAGTGCACGAAAATTGTGAATGAACAATCGACGATTACGATACGATTATGGAATTATTTTTTGTGATATATGGGAGAATTATTTTGTATTTTATCATTGGAATTCAGATTTTAGATTTCGGTGAAATTCAATCAGTCAGTGAATAATTATCGTCGGTAAAACTAAAAAGTGGGGATGAACTCTGAGAGAACAGGAATAGTCCCAGTACCCGCTGTATCATACGTAGTGAAAAAAAAAAATGAGAACCCTGTAGCCTCTTGACTCTAACAACCTCTATTTATATAAATAAACTTAGCTATTACCGAAAACAATTGAATTTAATCCAATATGCGTGTATCCCGCGTTCCACAATACGCACGATTAAAGAGAAATACTTTTTTTTTCTTTCGGTGAGACCTTAATTAGAGATGAATTGATTGGTTGTAAGACTGATGGGGGAGATTAAACGTGAAAAATTAAATGTGAAAATTAATTTAAGTAGGGGGTAATGGAAAAGTCTTTCCCTTTTGGACGTGACGTATTTAATGATTCATGTACAAAGTCTTTTACCGTTAAGATCCTTGTGTTGTAAAGTTCACGTAACCGTAGACACTAGGTAGAAGAACTAAGTCTAAAGGAGTTCAATGTAGAGCCGAGAGAATAAATAAAGGAAATGAAAAACACAAGTGTTTAACCACCGATTTAATGAGATGAAAATTTGTATCTTTTATCAGCGTGAGAGAGAATTTTTCCACTGTCAATGGCAATTTTTAGTCTCATGTTTGAAGGAGTTGCAGTCAATTTGATTGAGTGATTTCATTATGTTTTTCATGTGTCTAGGTGAGATATTTATCGGGGTGATTCTATGCCATTGATACAATCGGAATTATAACAATCTACAATATCGAGGCTAGAAGTGTATTCATGTAATTCAGCATTACTACGTATGAATAAATAGTTGTTATTGTAAGATGCGTATATTTGAGTTTTTTATTACCCTTGTTGTGGGACGGAACTGATACCCTGGTGATTCCAGGTAAGAGAAATCATTTCCTCATATTCATGGAATATTCAACAATTTTTTATAAAAAAATCTTATCATAATCATTCAATTATGAATTATGAATTACATCAAATTAAAACTGCCAGTACTCTCGAATTTTTAACATTGAAGAATTATTTATCCGGCAGTCCTTATTAATTTGGTTGTTTATAACTTTTAATAAATTTTTATATTGCTCCTTCAATTTTCTGCGACAAAAATTTTTTCGACTCAAACAAATAAATTTGATTTGGAGATTACCGCGTGGTCTGGTCGCAATAATTCAGATGAATATAAAAATTCAAAATTGGTTAGCAAACATTAGAAAAAAAAACCTTCTCCATTACTGTCAATAGCTACAACCGAGGGTTTCTCCCCCTCACCACTTACCCACTGTATTCTTATCAATTTACGAAGCTGCATACCCGTAACGACTGCCAACACGCAATGTCCCAGGATTGGTCAGTCCTCGGCAAAGGCTCCACCTTCTCACCAGCATAAATTTTCATAAATAACGATAATTCACGCGACCGTGTGGCACAGCTCCACCACACATTGCTAATTGAATTTAACTCGAGTTCATGTACTGTCAAGACCGATGTCTTAATTGCCTCCAACAGCACAAGAAAAACAATTTTCCGTTCAAATCTCCATGATTATAAAAATAAAACGAGTCTCATGCTTTACATAAAAATATAAATATGATTCTACAATGTTGAACAGTCAGACACACCCCCTACCCCAGGGGCCACCCCATTTCTCGCTAAAAAATGCAAAGCGCGTAGTCCTGTCAGCGTATATCTGTGCGGGGAAAAAAAAATTCTAAAAAAGAAGACAAGAGAATGAAAAAATGAACGTTTCAATGCAAATGAAGGGCTTGACTCTGCGGCCTCACTTTCACCACAACTTCCCCCTTACTCTCTCTCAGCTGAGAAGGGAGAGTTGAGAAAAAAAAAACGGTCCACCATCCGCACTGTTGCCCTTAAAACTCTCGCCCCCAAATCATAAAGATAACCGAATTGCTTCAGCTTCCACTACTTCCACCACCTCCACCACCTCCACAACCTGCACCACCTCCACAACCTGCACCACCTCCACCACCTCCAAAACCTCCACCATCTCCACCACCTCCAAAACTTCCACAACTTCCACAACTTCCACTCTTATTCTCAGAACATATTGCCCGACAATCATTCCAGCATTTACATAATTATCGAATAAAAAAAATGGGGGATGCTCACCCCTCCCTCAACAGCTCTATTCCAAGTACTCGAGTACCACTAATTTCGTGCTCTCATTTTTTTTTTTATCAAGGGCTCAATGAAGGTTTTTGCCTCCACCGAAAAATTTATCTCGCTCCCTTTTTTTTTTTCGTTATTTCGTCTTCGTTTTCTTCACGTTTCTTTATTCGTGCTTATGACCCTTCTCGGACTGTGCTCCTCCCTCGACTGTAAAACATCGTGGCAGTGATTAGCCCAACGTCGTCTAATTTGAACGGTGCGAGGCATGCGATAGAACGATATTCATTTTAATTAGAATCGCAATGCCCGCAGTTTATGAGCCATGATCATTTATTTTTTATTGTTCGGGGATTTTAATTTAAATAATATGAGCGGATGATCTCAGCGGGTCGATTAATTAATTGAATAGTTGCTACACTTTAACGCAGTTTTTTTTTTAACGCTGAGAACATTTTTTGCGAGCAATTGTTTAATGATAGAGTACATTCGTGACAGCTCTCGCTGGTTTTTTTTCAATACGGTATTCCAGTGGGTGCACTGCGGATTGTAATTAGGTGAACCATTAGTACCTCGAGTGCATAATTGAGAATTCTTGATTATTATTTTTCATCGGTCATTTGTCGAGATTTACGTGTTCCCTTTTACATATTGTATTATGCCATTTTCCAGGTCTATGTAATTTTCCCCGAGTGGAAAATTCCGTCAATTTTTAGGGAGACGATGATAATTGGGAGAATTGAATCGCAGCATTGGTATTTTAATAATATAAATCCGTGAGAACCTGAGAAAATTTTGAGTGCAGTAGATAGATGTAATGTGCCACTAAAATAAGAAATTAGAAATAAGAAAAAATGAGGAATTAAATTATAGACTTTTAAATTTCTGCGGATAAGAATTGAATTGAAATGAAATGACAATTATTCGCGATTCACGTCAATTGTCAATTGTCCGAATTTTCTTGGTTTCTCATGCTAAAGTTCTCAAGAAAAGAGTCAACTGCACTTCACCTCGATTTCCTCTTGATGTTTACGCCCAACCTTTTACCCATCTACTCGGATAGAATGCAATTACACGACGTCAACTGAAAATTTAATTGATGCAAATGAGTTTTCAATACTTGAGGGCAAAATCCCACGGGAACAAACCCTAGATAGCACCGGTGAGAAAGAGTTGTGGTGACGTTATCCACCACGACGTCTCCACTGTATTTTCCATTACTCAAATTCCACTGCATCCCTCCACTCTCCATCATGCATCAGCTTCTTTTCCTCCATTAATTAATAAATTAATGCAGAAGGAGCCGATGATCGAGTCAAGGAGAATCGAGAATTTTCATCCCCCGGGGGGTGTGCCACGGAAATTTTATGATTTCATTACGTTGACATTTTTATCAGATATTCCTGGACGAATTACAGTCGCCAGGTGAGTTATGCTAATATTCATAATAACGAAAACTCTCCTCACAAATTTACGAGTCATAACGCGATTTGCAAGACTGAAACAAAAAAAAAATTACCGCAACAAAAAAACGTTCTCAAACCCCCGATATCTCCGAACCCGACAACGCGATTTAAACGAATCAAGTGTCATTTTAAACCCAAAAATAAACCCTCAAAACTGATATAAAAAATATGAAAATCCACTCTGCAGATCTCAAGATATCGCCGATGGAGAACCCACCCCCGTCAATCTCCATAATTCAAAATAATGAATAAACGAATCGAAGGAAAATTGGATAAAGGGACACACAGTGACTTTCAACGAGTGAAAAAAAAACCAAAAAAAAAAGAACTGATGGAATGCCCCGTCCGCATTTATAGGATATACAGCAGCAGTTAAGATGGTCTTCGATTCTCCCTTTACCCCATGTGAAACCGGTAATCAAAGTGTCGAGATGAACGAGATGAATCGCCGTATGCAAAGCGCGTCTTCGTCACAAGGTACGTACGAAAAATCATTTGAAGTATATCCCCGGTCATATACCCATATAAAGAAATAGTGTATGTGAATTCCATGCCCACCGTATGGGACGCGCAGGGATATATAAAACGTTGAGGATCGTCGTCCTTTTGATGGAAATCGTCTCAGCCTCAGGGCGCCAAAAACAGAATCTCTTTTTCACCTTCTCTCTTCGGTCTCTTCGTCATTTTCATATCTCCTGTCCATCCCCCTCACCCGTCCTCCCCCTTCTGCCCCATCTTACCCCTCTTCACCCTTTTCTCCTCTTCCTCAGAGGTCCTCCATGGGCACGAGGGAACGCCTCGCTCATGGGCACGTCGTGCGAATTTAAATCCATCCCTTTGGAATTAGCCAACACGGTGATCCCTTCTTGGTGAATTCCTCATCCCATTTTTTTTTTTCCTCTCGTTTTTATCCGCTTTTGAGTTTTATTCGAAAAACCACAGGAAATTATACTCACGCGTCGCGTGCCAGCGTTGATTGACGTTGAATCTTGGTCGATACTGTGATTTCAGTGGTTTTTCGGGGCAAGCGATTGGGAAGATATAAATAAAAATTTCCTCTTGGATATATATATATATAGATATATATCTGGAAGCGTGAGGATTTACAATGGAGGGGGTGAGATCGCAGTGAGCGAAAATGTATTTTCCTCGAGGTACGATATTTTTGAACAGAAAAAATGCTTTTGGTAATAATTCTGAGCCCCGGGGATGATTTACCTGGAGAATTATTGTAGACAAATCTGAAAAATATCCAATGATTCGCCGAAGATGAAATAAAAATGCGAAACAAAATTTCTGTTACTTTTCGCTTTTTTTTTTGTTCGATGAATAACTGAAATAAAGTTTTTGTTACGCAACAATGATTGTGAGTGACTGTAGTATCGATTTTCGTTTACCCACTTGGTGCCCCCTCCCCCTTCCCCCCCCGTTTGCTCTAAAACCCGAGGGATGTTTCATTATTTAAACAGATTAGCGATAGGGCAGACCGGAGGGAGCGTCTTATGTGTTTCCGATGCGTGGGCCCCACCAGCATTTCACGAAAATTAATCCTCCTTCAGCTTTATCATCGTGTTGGGATATTCTGTGTGTGTTTGTTACCTCGTGTTGCCTCTCCCTCAATCCCTCCTTGATACTTCTGAAACACCCGGGGGCAGGGGGATGAAAGCAACCCCCCCGAGGCGATGGAATGAAAATAATATCGAATTAAATGCTACCAGCCGTTCCATGAAATTCGTTTTTTATTCAAAATAAAATGGTAAAATTTTTTTCTTTCCTTGTATTATTTTTTTATGTGGCTCCTTCCTTAATTGTCCTCCGGAGTTGGGAGTTCTTTCTGGGCTCGATCGTTTCCGAGAGTCCAAGGATCGTCTAATACAAATTCATGAAGCGACCCTCCATTAGGTGGCGCACAATCAAAATCACCGAAAAACTCTTCAACCAGTTGTAAATCAAATTCTCTGACAAAAATTTGGGACCCCAGTGTCTACCCGCGGTCTAGACGCCAACAAATCCCTTTTAGGTGAATAGAAACTAGATTTTTCGTGCGTTCAACGGGCAATTAGTCCGTCCTGGCCCCAGGGGCCACCGGTATCTGGGGTCAGCACCACTATTTTTTCGAATAATTATTCTGCAAATGAGAATGTGCCTCTTCACTCGAGACGTGAAAATCTCTTCCTCCTCTAC